AAACATGCTAGACATTAAAAGGCAAAAACCCAGTTCACAGATGTTGTAATGTTATGAGATAATTTTAGGGAGTGAATGGGGTGAAAAGGCTGGATTTGTTAGAGAGGAAAATACCTATGGAGGCCTTTTCTGTGAGCAATACCATGACTTCATTACCATGTCAATTCTGGGAAAAGGCTCTGATTTAACACAGCAGTTGGCTGGATCCATATGGAGCTGATGAACCTCTGAATGAATAGTGAATGGAAAAACTGCTGGAATCTGCCTTCAGCTTTGTTCCCAGGATGACCAATGTAAAAGGCCTAAGAGCAATACTGCACAGATGGTGTAAAGAGGTAAGAAATCTGCAAGGTTTAGTTTACGTTTTCTTATTCTACACTGTTTGGGGTTTTATTTTTTTAACCATGTTTTGGTTTCTCCAATTCTGCTTGCTTAAATGCCGTTACTCAAAAAATGTAGGAAAAAGAAAAGCTTTCGGGAAATGAAATTAGTTCAAAAAACATATGTAGCAGTAAACATTTACATAAAAATACAATTTAAAATGTTGAATTTTGTATGGTATAGAAGTAATTGAAAGCATAATTATGAAATCTTGAGGAAAAAAAAAGCTAGTTAAAAGTTTAACAAAGAACTTCGGAATTACTTGTTCAATTCACCCGATGTTGTGGGAATATGCAGATGTTCACATTTACACAGTCATGTATGTCCACTAGGGTTACATGCTTTTATAGTCTGAAGCATCATCACAAGTGCCAATACAGTAAATCAAAAGACTCTCTGGCATTATCTAGTTTCCTTTCTGGCTTTAAAAGTTAGAACAGATGTCACAAGAGAGGACAAAATGGATTTTACCCACCGAGAGGAGCTTTTCTTGCCATCATTAATAGGAGGCTCCTTGAAATGCTAATGTACACAGTTTGTGTTGCCGGGTTTGCATAGAGATGGTGGGAAACAGCTCTGATCCCAACAAAACCTTTTGTTATTAATCAAGAAAATCTGCTCTTCTGAAACAGCAAAGCACTAAAATGGTGTGGCTACTTGCAATGCAGAGATCTCTATAGCAATCTTCAATGAACAAAAATGTAATAAAAACTGTTCAGCAGCTCTACGAGATACGGCACATGTAGCAATTTATTTGCAGTGATTTTGCATACACCTTCTACTTTCCTTTGTCGTTTCAGCACGGGTATTTACGGTGGAAGGGTTTCACCGTTTCTGTAGTTTTTCCAAATCTCCAGTCATTAAAAATCTTGTTTAATTTCATAGCAAATCCAAAAAGCAAGTTTGGGGCAGAAAGAACTTTGAAAATCAAGCTTTTCTTCATGAAAAAAATCTATTACAGAGCATGAATTTCTCTTCAGTTTGATGCTAATACCATGTAAGATATTTTTACTTTGTTAGAATATAGGATTATAAGATACTGTGAACCTGTTATAAGTACAAACATACTCTGCAACAGTAGGACTAGGAAGCTCCTTCTGTTGCAAATGGGACTTAATAATTTTTAGTAATCTCTAAGAGAAGGGGTTCAGACCCTGGCATTGCTTTGTGACATATGACCTCTTACTTTTAAGTGCAGTTAAATCACAAAGTACTGACTGCTGTCAAACGTTCATTGCCTTCTATAGGATGCCTCAACAGAAACCTTCATCCCCAAAAGTATTTGTGGTATGAGTTAAAACAAAAGAATTAAGGAAAGCCTGAATTAAAATGTAAATTTTTTGCCTGGCATTACTCGTCACTGAAATCTCTGACCCGGTTTCTGATCACAGTTACATTAAATTCCCTATCAATTTATTGTACAGCAGTTCCACAACACATTAATGTTCCTTTCACAGATTCATTGTACTGAGACTTCAATATATGGGCACAAGAGAATGAATTAGGGATGAAGCATTAGCTCAGAGTTTAAGCCTCTTTTAATTTCTTTCCCTCTGTGTATCTAAAGCAGATACTTAACATTTTGCATTGCCATAGATTATTGTACTTTAATTTCTATTATGCAGTTTTTTAAATGATGGTAATAAACAGATAGTATAAATAAATAAATGTACCCTGTTATAATTCATGAAAGGTTGTTTGAGATGACCAGTATTTATGGGATAAAACAATATATGTCACAAATTTTAAAATGGGAATGTTATTTGTTAATAGCTTTGTCTGATACAAATTTGGTAAAGCCAACAGGAAATAAGGAAGTGGGATAAGAGGGGATGGGGAGCTTATGTGAAAGAAACCCAAATGAAACATCATGGATTCTATCACTGAGGAGCTGTTTCAGCAGTAGGAAATACTGTAATGGGCAAGCAGATAAAACCAAACCTATGAGAACAACTTTGAAGTCAGAAGTGCCTTTGGCATTGGAAGAGGTCTATAAATGAAATTACCAGGGCTATCTCTGGGTACTTCTACAAAAGGATTATCTGTTCTCTACAATTTGATGTATAGAGTTTTTCCTAGTCTCCATTTTTCTTTCAGCTTTACAGTTAAACTTCTGATTTCATAAAAGCTGCATTTCAGAGGGGTCCCAAGTGCCTGCAGCCCTGTGCCAAAGGGTCTCCACCACTTCTGCTGCTGAACACAAGACCTCACTCCTCCTGAGGGTGTGGCCAGATTAATTTGTGTGAGGCTGCACTGAAAATACCAGTTTTCAAAATAACAAGCAACAGCAACGAAAAATCCTACTGAGAGTGCTTAGTGGGACCTGCAAAGGCTTTTGTAAGGGACTAATGACTCTGACCTCACTGTCCTGTAGAGGTAAGGATGAAGACTATCCTTGGGAAAAATTTTGACTGGGAGGGGTGACCTGTGTCAACAACATACCCTGCAAACCCCTTGTCTTAAGAGCACTGACAAAGTGAATCCATTTTAGCAGAAATACACTTAAGGCATATCTTCTTATATAAGACTTTTATCTACCTGTAAAGTTTCTGTGTCTTTTTTTCAGAAGTATTATGCTTAGAATGGTTTCAAAACTTTGCAGAAGTTCAAATGTATAGATTTCAACCAGGCTGGAAATCTACAGTCTAGCTTCTGTTGCTAAATTATGAGCTAAGATGCTATATGGCAGTCTGAAATATATCCATGAAAGGGTTTTCAGATAAGCTGTTTTTTAAACCAGTGTAAATTCTTTGTATGGACTCTCAACCTTGAAGATTTTCATCAAGGATTAAATGGTAACTGACTACTTCCCTGTACAGTCCTTACCAAATTTTGTTCTCACTTCCTCTGGTGCTGAGTAACTTCACTGCATTTGAAGTGGTTATTCTAAATTTGTCCCAGTGTAACAGACCAAAATTTAGCTTTAAGAGCCTCTCAGAGGAGCATTGTCTTCTGTTGGTGTGCTTATAGATTTTTGGCTGAGAATCTGGAATAGGTGAGCAGTCCAATTCAGGTGTGAACCCTTTCCCTACACTGCCTTGTAGCGAAATCTCTTTGTCTTGGCATTTATATACATGAAAAATTGGTCTGAACTGATATAAAATCAGATCTCTTCAGTTGCTCCTTTGGTAACATTTTACAGCCAGCTTAAATAGACAAAGTACAAGAAATCAAGTCCTATTTCCCACGTGGGAATTGCTGTTCCTGGCAGTAAGTGTTTATAAGATCAAATTCCTTTTCATGGGGTAAAAATAATACCTTTTAAAGTCAAGCTATATATGTAAATTATTTAGGGATAGATCTTCAGTAAGGTTTTTAAAATGAAGTGAGTATTTATGATATGAGGGCCTTCAGGCTTTAGAGTACTGTATATGGGCAAACAGCAAAAAAAGGTCAGTCTTGTTGTATATTTAAGTCAGTCTCCAAATTACTTTGAGTCTTGTATCATTTCTGCTTTCTCTGTGTCTTTTTCTTTAAACTTCCAAAGTCAGGTAGCACCCTGCAAGCTGCGTTGAATCCAACACCTAAGATAGCCTTATAAACCCTGCGGACATTAAACTACTGGAAAACAGATTGGGTTGGTAAAAATAAGTGTGCATGTTCTCACAGAACCTGAGAAAATCACACCTTTACTTTGTTAAAAAAAAATCTGTTTGTGCCACTCCAGTAATCACTTCATAACTGGTGGGAGAGCAGAACATATGTCTCAGAAGTGGTGGAATATAAAAGCCTCTACCTCTAATCCTATTTTCTTTAAGGGGAAAAAAAAAAAGCAACAAAACCCCCTAACCTTTTCAGTATGTCATCTGTAAAATCAGTGCCAAAGTTTTTCTGCTTAAAAATGCTAAGACATTTTGTGGCAATTTCTGTGAAACAACTTGGTTAATCCTTTTGCAGTTTTATTAGCAAGCAAAGTCCCGGAGAAGTAAAGCAGTGTCAAGAAGGGTGTTGAGAGTGGCTTTTGTAGCCCTGCTACAGGTAATGAATCCTATGAGCCTGCTGTTCCTGAAGCATTTCTTGGTTAGTTGTTTATGAGGGCTGAAATCACCTCTTTTCAAATTTACCTTTCGGACTCTGAGCCGGTGTGGTAAATATTAGGTAATAGGATATTTACAGAGGGGTTATTTCCATAGAGAATGGATGGGACCTGAACATTGACCTGCTGGAGAGGGGAGGGAAATAGAAAGGCTTCTTTTCCTTCGGGTTGGTGGTTAAATGGTCAGTGGCATGAATGCTCTAATGTGTGGCAAGGCTGCTGCTTGAAATAAATGTTGAGAAGCAATCTCGGTCTAATGCTACAAGCAGAAAGCGGAGATGATGGCAGTTTAATATGTAGTCTACAAGACAAATGTATCCCACTTTAACACCAGTGAAATCAGCATGGTGACAGGTTGTGCCTGGGAGGCTTTGGTCCAGCAGCGTCCAAATTAAATGTGAAAATGCAAACTAACTGCTGACATTAGACACAGGGGTCTCAGGAAAGTTGTTTTTGTCAGGATTCAGTTGCTCTTTCATCTTCTTTACAAACTCCTTCCCTTTTCTCCCTTTTCCCATCTTGCTAATCAGGGAGGTCAAAGGACTGGAGATCCCACCAAGCCTGTGTTACGCCCTAGAGTTGGCTTCAGGTGTGACTCAGATGGATAAATGGAGTGACTTGCACCATAAACCACACCAGCTACTTTTTAATCTTCTCTCCAGCTCCAGACCTGGCTCCTCTGGTACAGGCTGACAAACAGTCTAAGGATTCAAAACTTACCTTTAAAATAATGCTCTACCTAATATATCTCTTTGAATTGGTCTAGGGCACATAGCTCTTTGATAACTTCCATTGCACAGTGAGAATTAATAGATGGTATTATGTGGAAATGAAAGCATGCACAATGCTGTGTGTATTCATCACTTCTAGGGAGTTATTTATTCAGGTAAATAAGATTTTGCTGAGCAGTACTCACTATGCTTAACCTTTATTAATAAAAGTAATACTTGGTGTGGTACAATTTCTTAGAATCAAGCCAAAATAGCAGCAAAAGAATAGGTGTAATAGATGTCAGGAGGATTATAGCATTTACATTCTGGTGATGATTATATATTCAAAATGCCAAATCAGATTGTATTATAAAATTCTAAATTAAGAAAATCTTGTACCTGGTTCTATGAGCCTTTATTTTAAAGCAGATCTACTTGAAAAATAATGGCTTTTTTTGCTTTAGAATAGCTATTATACAGCCTCGTGCTCTGATCTTTTTTGCTTCTTTCATTTCACTTTACCTTTGTTCTTACTCAGAGCCCAAGAAATAAGTCACCAGTTTCTGCACACCTTTCGTACAAAGAGGACAAAGATTCATATTTATCAGAGCATCATACAGCGCTTCTTCCGCCTCTCCTTTCTTTTCAGGTAAATTCTACTTAGCAGTTCATTTCTATTTAACGTTGATGGCTTGCAGTACCCTGGAAATTCTCATTAAATGCTAGTGAATAGCGTAAAAATAAGTAAAGCAGAGCTGTTTTTCTTGCTGTGTCTTTAGATCTGACCTTTATTGTTCAAGTTGCATTTGAAAAAAAGAAAAGTGTCAAGTTGTTGAAAGATGAGTGCACTCCATTATACCATTCTCAAGGCACTGGGAAAATCCCACTGAGGCAGGAACACCAGTCAGTGTTTACAATGCTGCATTTTAAATGCATATTGGAAAAACAATGATAACAAAACGAATTTCCTGCATCTAAGATTTCTTAGTTAAGAAAGCATAATTACACCAAATGCCAGGATTTCTTTTCAGCAGAAATCTGTTTTGCCAGTGGTTGCAATGAATCACATTGTGGCTTGAGAAGGGAAATTTGTTCTGGCTGTGTGCTGGTACTTCTGGGTCTCTCCCGGCACGCATGTCCAAGCACGGACATGGTTGGAAGAGGAGCTTTGAAGGAGTGCGGCCACCTACTCTTGTCTCACCTCATGTGTGTTTCCTCTGACTCACACTGTTGTTTTGAAGTGGATTTCCTCTCTGATCCCCACCTAGAAGATCTATTCAGGAATTGAAACATATATATGTGTATTTATATATATATATCTATATATATCTATATCTCCTCATTTTTCTTTGCTTTGGGCCTCTTGGTGAACGGAAAGATCATTTCATGCTGCTCAGAGTTGTCAAAGCAAGTCAGGCCTGCAATAGTGGTGGTGGTGGTACTGGAGAAAGATGTTATTTTGCTGGGGTAAAGGGAAAAATAGAAAGAAGAGGATCTCAAATTCTGAAAGCAAACTTAGCGTGCAGGAAAACTTAAAACTTTTCTAAAAGACATACTGAGTCAACTGGAAACCAAGTTACTATATTCTAGAGTTTATTTGAATGACATTTGTGAATAGTTTTTTTCCATTAATTGTTGAATAAATGAACACATTTACCCCTCTTTGATGAGCTTTATGTATGGCTGAATACTCTTTTCCAAATAAATTATTCATAAATTTTGAGCAATCATTGAATAATTTATTCAAAATATTTTTTTCATTATACACTCCTTCATCCAATGGACTGTGAGTGAAACTCTGGCTGTGTTAAAGTTAGTGAAAATATTCTCAATGATCTGACCAACACCAGGACTTCACTCAATTCAAAGTCTCTTAGTTTTGAGAACTAAGTGTTGCAATTACTTATGGAACTTTGGTTTAAATATTAGTGGTAAACATGCCCGTGATTTTTTCAGTGTGTAGAAAAAAATTAGAAGGAATCACTTCAGCTTTTATTAATCTAATTAATTTAAGTTATAATTTGAATCTGGATGTGTGAATGCTTTTTTTTAGACTTCCACAACATGGTATTTCCTGTCATCTAAAGGCCTAGTTTATGATGAGTAAAATCCTACAACAATTGTTGAAGAGAGCTCAGTTCCTGGCTAGTTTCCAGTTTTGAGTATTATTAAAGGTATTCAGGAGTACACCAATTTTTGTAATTTTTTTTTTTTTATTTTTAAATTGCAGCAATCATTGAAAGTGTTCAGAGTTTGGGGTGTGTTTAACTATTCTCTTGACCAGATAAAAATTGTTAAGATGTTTCCACAATTTTGGAAATAAGTGTGATTTCTTCTATTGCAAATTTATTTGCATTTTACAACTAGTTTTGGTAATTACAATTCTCCAACCTTAATTCTCCCTGGAAATATGACGTGTCTTCACTTCCTGTCTTAAATTTGTATTGTGTAACTTCATGCAATTAAGGCATGGCTGGCATTATGCCATTGTTCGTGGGTGAAATTATTCCTATGTAAATACTTCATTTTGTACCGTTAATTGGCAAATGGTATAGAGTGCTTTGGGATCCATCTGGAGAAAAGTTACCGCATATGCTTTTGATCATTATTACTGTGTTATCTTGTTCCTTTAAGATACACAACTGCTTTATTATTTGCTGAGCTCCAGGAGAGTACTTGGTACTGTACAGATATGCAGGGAGAAAATGCTACTGCCCCGTGGAGCCTCCAATAGACTTGGCTGAGTGAGACAGTAGGCACTGAGCTGTGTGAAATACGTGGGTTCAATATCCACATTTCTTATTAATGGAGATTTGAAAATCTCTCTGTAGCATTATGATGATTTGTGGGAGAAATGTACTGCAAGTGAATGACAAAAGCGGAAAAAGGTAGCTTGGTGAATAACAAAAGAGAGAGCACAGCCTAAAAGAGAGGGGCAGAAAAATGAGAATGGGAGAAGGATTCACATGGGGCATTTTAGAGACAGCTTGGAAGGAGGAAGAGAGGCTGGGAAACTTGTGCAGTTGGGTAGATATGATAGAGGGAGGGAAGGGAGTAGAAAAGGAAGATAAGCTAGTACAGAACTGTGCTTTGTATTGGGAAATGTGGGTTGCATAATGGGAAAATGATGACTACTGATGTCTGGAGATGGAGAAAAGAAGAAGAGGTAAAGATGAGTTGGTGAAGCATAAAGCGAGTAAGGTGTAGTTTTGAGAGTCTGTGTAATAGAGGAGACTGGATAACTCTTTTGAGAAAAGGGATCTGTTTGAGGTAAAGAAAATTCAGAGGTTGGTGCTGTGATATTGTAGGGACAGGTGATGTGAAATTTCACTGAAAGAGAAAGAAGAATTGAGAAAAAAGGCTGGATTTGGGTGCGGGTAACTAAAAATGTGGCAACCATTTCAGGAGATGCCAATTCATTAATTAAGTAATTTATTAATTGGCTTTAAACTCACTCAGTCCTTTCTCCAGAGCTGGAAGATTCAGCCTGACCTTTTCTTCTGAAATAAAGTAGGAAAAATCTACTGAAAATTTTTTGTTTAAATATTTTGATGGAAAATAATTTTGTTTTCCTCTTTTGCTCAGAGATGTTGCTGTAATTGAAGGCCCTGATCAGTAAGACATAGAGGATTCTGTGTCTTTGGAAGCACATGTAGTAAGAAGACATCTAAAAAGTAAGATACCAAACCAAAGTTTGATTGAACTGAGACCCATTTCTGGTTTTTGTTAGATGTCTGTTGGGGTTTTGGACAAGTCACCATTTCTGTGTGTCATTTCTTCATACTAAATGGACATAACAGTTTATTTCTGTTCATAATTCTGTTCATTCATCTGTTCATTGTGTTCAGGATATGAGCCCTGGAAGATTTTTGTTTTGGTTTTAGCTTACCTCATCAAAAGATTGGCAGCTCCAGACTTGATTTAGACCTGAAGGTATTGGAGTGATGCTCTCGAGGTGTCTTTCTACCCTTACTGGCAAGACATCGATCAAAGAGAGACGTATTCCAACTGGATACCTCACAGAGATGCCTATGTTGTATAGGGTTAGTTCATATTTTAATATGTCTCTGCAATGCAAAGCATGAACAGGAATAGAGTCTTGGAGTGTTTAAATTCCACTACTCTAATATAACTTCTCTTTCTTGCCTGCTTATGGAGTCAGGTCTGAAAGCTCTGGATTATGAATGATCTGAAGGGAACGCTATTCTCTTGAACTTTGAGACTGCACTGGTTGTGATCCCTAAGTTAGCCACATACAGGTTGAATATGATCCTGCATCAAAACAAAAATGGTGCTGATATAGTATGGTAATCTGAAGACTGAAAATTAAGAAGACAGGCTATTGAAATCATTATCTGATATTGTATCTGAAATACTTCCACTTTTCTCTAGGGGGAAAAAGGGTTGGCAGTGCAGTTGCATGGTATCAGTTGTCAACCTTTTAGCAGAAACCACTGTATAAAGTCTTTTTCTGATGTGAAGGCCCACGCAGGAGATTCTTTTGTAAGTACAGAAGAAAACATTAATCTTAGCAGTAAACTGTATCTTGTATAAGTAGGCTGTGTAGATGGATCAAACAAATGAGAAAAACTGTTTAAAGTTTGCAGTTAAGTTCACTTAATATTACCTTGATTAATGGTAGATTTTTCATGTATTGGATCATTTTGTGCTAATTCAGTACAACAGTGTCTGCCTAATAACAATCAATAGTAAATGATTTCCTGCTTAAATATCAATTGAAAATCAGTGATTTCCTGCTTCCAACTGCACTTAGTGTCAATCATTGCACATGGCGACGCTGAACACAAGTGATTTGTTTGTTAACCACTTAGCATGCATACATATATATAGATATATATTTAAGTCTGGTTTCACCAGGCTAGATTCTTGAGAAGTTACTCATATTGAATTGTACATGACTTGGTTCAGTGCAACAGTCTCAGTCCAAATGAAGATGCCATTCTGCTAGAGTGAGCATCTCCAGACCTGGCCCACGACTTATTGGATCAATGATTAGAACAATCCTAAAAGGTTTTTTTACTCCTTAGTAGATGAAACTCAAATCCCATAGTGTATGAAACTCAAATCTACTTCAATGATTTCATTTTGTGCGTGAGAAATATAGAGACTCTTACTAAAAAGCTGACTGTCAAAAATGTGGCAAAGAGATGCTTGTGAAAGGAAGGCTTGGAAGTATTTTTCATGACTGCTTTTTCTTGTGATACTTTGCTATTTTGCTTACAGCCCATTTCTTTTTCTGAAAGATGAACCAAAATGGCTGACAAAATCATAGGCACAAGGCACACATGAGGTGGCATTCTGGGCTGGAAAACCATCTCTCAGTGCTGCAAAGTACATCATCCCTCTTTCCATATGTCTTTGCTTACTAGTGAGGATGAGTAGGTGTCAAAGTAGGAGGCACTACCTGAATCATCTAAGGGAGTAATAAATTGCCTGGGGAGGTGATTGACCATCATCCTATCTGCAGGTAGACAGGTATCTTGCTTTGGAAGTGCTCAGGCTGTGTGTTGAGAAATGTATTTCTTTTGTCTGGCTTTGTTTTCAATTTCTGAAGTCCCTCTCCTAGATGATTACACTCCTTTGGGGAGATATCTTTGTTAGTCTCAAGCAAGACAGATGCTTTGGCTTGAGCTGGTAATAGTGCTGTTTGGAGGCTGACAAGCTGGGTGAATTTGCAGTGTGGTTGTATACATCCTCTTCAGTCACCGGTGCTGTGTGTTTAACTTCTCAATATGTTCCATCTGTGGTAGCTAACACGGGTATGGAATTTATGACTGTGAAGACTATAACATACCACAATACAGGAATGCCTCTTGAGCTGAAATGATGTTTTTAATCAGTACATTAAATGTTGCAGTTGATTGACAGATGGCTCTTTCTATTTTCTGGAAGGAATGTACTCTAACTTAATTGTAACAAGGATATCACATCTTGTATAACACCTTTTACACTAACAGGTATTACAGAATTTTAAAATACATGTGCAAGGAACGCTTCATGCACCATGGAAATGCAACCACCTTGGGTGAAATGCAGGGAATTTAGGTAGAGAGAATGTAATTACCCAGGCTGGAATTTGGCCAGCACCCTGAGATTAAAACCCCTAATCTTGCAAAGAGTACCATGGGATCTCTAATGAACACAAATGGTCAGATCACAATTTTACGTCTCTGGCTGTAATGCTGTACTACAACAAGGGTATTTTCAACTGTATAGTGCATTCATTGTGATTATGCATCTAATTTTATTCTCGTTGTAATTTCCAATAATAAAGTTACAATAGTGCCATAAAATGTACGAACAAAATGGTATGACACGAGGTTATGCTACATACATTTTAGGGGCATATTCTGCTCTCATTTATAGTGGTATCTTTCCTTGAAGCCAATGGAATTCCTCCAGATTTGTGCTGGAATAACTGACAACAGAAGTTGTCTTTCCAAGAGAGCATTTTTTATGCACATATATTGTAGATGTGTTTGAAAAGTTAAATATTTATATTCTGTCCAAATATGGGAGAGTCTTTTTTCTTTCATTTTTTAAAACCATAAAATTGTTAACAGACCCATGAAAAAAGAATATTATGGCTCTATGTCTGTTGGTTAACCTTCACCACAAAAATTGATCTGTGGGAATTTCTCACAGTGTAACATACTGTATCCAATTCCATAGTTATTACTGTAAACCTATTAGTGCCACCTGGGTTTGCATATCCGCAATGCTGTCCAAGTGAAGACAGATTAGCTCTATCACATGTTATGCCAGAGGGACAGCCTCACGAGGAGTCTGCCCTCAGGGAGAAAAAAAAGGGCTCAGACCTTTAATGAGAATACAGTGCTTTATAATAGCATTTGGTGGCCTAGAGATTTTCTGTCAAGTCATTTCAAATTAAATTGGCAGCCTTGCAATGTTCAGCCTGTATGAGTTTTTGTGCGGGGTATATCGTTAATGTTAAACCAATTCTCCCAGAAGATCAACAGAACATACAGAGGCAGTGTTTGCATCGGTTCCTCTTTTTAAGTCTGGGCCTTCATAAGCTACTAAAAAAAATGCTTTTTCCCGAGCAAAACCTAGCTTTGGCCTGAATTATTCATGTGTAAATTCAGGCAATTTATTTGTGAAATTATTTGTAAATAATTACACTTTTCTGTGTAGTGTAATAATGAAATTAGTACGAGTCTAGGAGTGAACCAAATGACTTTGTTACCAATTAGTGTGACTCCACTCCCACTTCCTCAGGCTGACTCCCACAGAAAGGGTGTAGAATTTGCCACTGAGAACTCCATTTATTTCTGTTACTTCCAGGACTTTCCTTTTTTAAAATGTAACATTTATGTGATATTTTCGTCCTTCTAGTGTCTGAAAATTTAAAAAGCAGATGATACTTGAAGCTAAATTGCTATCGTTATGCAGGCCTTTTTTTCCTTAAGATTTTCTCACATTTTTCATTCAGAGCTCAGCCTGAAACACACACATTAGTAACCTCTTTCTATGATGTATTGATGGATTATTTTTGTGGGAGACTGGGGTTCACATCCTCAAAAGTAGGTAAATACCTTGTTCAATGGAATTCAAGAAGAACTGGGCAGCTGAATATTTATGAGGATCCCAGTTTGCACTTCCAATTCTGCAAAGTCCTAGGAATACCTGCAGGATCCTGAAAGTTCATGAGCTCTGTTACATTTAATGACAAAGGAAGTAGTTTTGCAATTTCTAAGCATAGAGCATCACCTGTAACTAGTGCAAGATAATGTTAGAGGAAAGTTTGCTTTCAGCTTGTTTTGTAGAGAGGAAAGTCTAACTCACTGACACGAGTGAAAAGAGGGGCTATTTGTGTGTTCGGAGCTACAGATTATCTCAGTCCATTATTATACTGATACTAGGTGAATAAGATTAGTCATGTAAAAATAAAAACAAGTTTTGCTTTTACTAGGAAGCATGCATTTTCCACATTTTTCCAAGACCGCTCCTAAGACCTTCCATCCTGTACTTGATATGTTCACATTTGTAAATCAGACATGAGTGATTACTTTTGTGAGAATTATTTAAGTAAAACTGAAGCATCACAGTCATGAAACAAGTTTGAATTTCCCTTTTTATTTAATATAATCCTTGTTTTGGGATACAGTCCAATACTGTGATTTCATAACATCTCCTACCCTCTGTATTCTGTTTTGTAATTGAAGGAAAAGTGATGACAGAAAATCATCCTAATGTGATCACATTCTTATATGTAACTGTAAAAAGAAAATTTTGATTCTTCAAATTAGAGAAGTCCACTGCATTTGGTAAGAGATTTACACTGCCAAAGCAAGAATGACTTGATCCTGTGTGTGCTGTAAGCCTTTTTTTCTTACTTCAGTGCACATACCTTGGGCAGAATTTAGCTCAATTTTCTTAATTTGCAGTGCTGGACAAAATTCATCTGTGCTGTGATTCCAGTGACCTCTTTGGAGTTACTAAATAATTAGGTTTGACCTAATACACTCTTCACCAAGTGCCATCTTGTTTTTCATGGAGGTTAACACAATAACAGTTTTCTATTTCTGCACTCAAACATGAGCAGCCTTTTTTTTTTTTTTTGCTTTCAATTCCTGCTAAAGAAAGGAGAGTAGTCAAACTGCTG